TACACTATATATGCTAAAACATAGAATTTTGAAGCATATTTAATATTGCCATTTCCATTATAAAAGGTTTTGAAAATAGAGTCGGCACAATTTCTAAAACACTTCAACTTGTCAGATAAATATTTTGGGTTATTTGTTTTTTCTGGAGGGCCAATATTTTCAAAAATGAAAAGTTCTTGATCACGACAATTGTAATTAAACAATATGCCATCTGCTTTGCGAGCCATTGCATCACTGTCATTATATATTTTCTCACGACGCCACTTTGAAGAAGGTACCTCATTCTCATTCCTATTAAGAAAAGCCAGCAAGATTAATAAGACACTTAATAAAAATTCTTGACAAATTGCATTTTTGCTTTCCTACCAGCTTGAGGATATTAAACCAGGAAAATGCAATCTGAGAAATTCAAAATCCATTGAAATTAATATAGATGTATATGTATTTTCATCTATATGCTTATTGATTTTGCCATGATCTGCTCTCAATTGCAAAAGTTTTATTCTAATGATGTCTTTAATAAGATCTGATTCACTTGTATCAAATCCATCAATTACATCAAGGTCTTTTTTTAGTTTTTTTAATGAATTTTCTATGTCATTCTAAGGAAAAAAAGGTAAATAATAATTAGAATAAATCAAGGTTATAAATTAAAACTATAGTTCTACATACTTCATATACTGAATTGAACCATCTTTTAATATATTGTGATGGTCTTAATTTAAGGTGAAGAATGCTTTTCAGCAAGGTTTATTAAGGATTTTAATAAGAGTTTGATTTATTGTAAAAGTGTTATGTGTCTTTATTAGCAATAATATTATTACAAGGTTATTATTATATTATTATTATTATTGTATCATGAACATGATGATTCTCACTTGGTCTAAAATCAAGCTCTTTTATACCTCTTGAGGTATTACAAATAACATGACCTTTACAATATTTTGTCCAATAAAATATGCTTATTAATCCTATTTTCTGTAATTTATTACAAATAATTTATTATGTCATAAAATAAGTTAAAAATAGAAATGATGTAATGATCTACATGTATAACATGACGCAATGTGTAGCGCAGTTGTTACAAAAAAATATTGAGATAAAAATAGAAAATGATGTTATTATCACGTGACTGCTGCAGTAAGTTGGTTCCGATTGATCGACATGCTTGGGACTTCCCTCAGTCCTCATTTACAATCTCACAATATGCAGAATTTATACAAGGAGGTGGATTAGAATTTGCTTCTTTTTTAATTTTGCAACCATTTCATCATCTGCCAATATTTTTTTATCACTTAAATTTATTTCAAAAAAATAAAAAATAAAATTTTTTTTACATATAAAAATAATTAATGATAAACTATTATTGATAGAATTCTATGCATACCCTAAAAAGTATTCTTCATCTGTTAATTCTTCTTGATCAAATTCATCAATATAAGAAGTAGAAATTGCATTGGGCATCTAAAAAAAATAAAAAAAATAAAATTTAGAATATTTTTTAATTGAATGGTAAACCAATTGGTAAAGTACTTACTATAAGATTATCCTAGAATAAAATGTCTAGAGTTAGTGTATATACATAGGCTATTACAAAGAAGATGTCAATAAATTAAAATAAAATACATACAATAGTTTTTATTGAAGTTATTGGTGAATATGATATTAATGGTATTAATGGTGTTGTAGGAGTTGCTGGTGATAATTTCGATTTTAATTTTTTTGTTGATCATTGGAGATTATCGTCTTCCTATAAAATAAATTTGGTTTGGTTTAATTATTATTCTCCAAAGTGTGCAACTGTTATATAAGTAGGAATTTTGTAAATTCTTACTTTTTCATTTTCTTCAAGAGCTCTTTGAAAAAAATGGTCATTAAACTGTTTGAAAGAAAAAATTTTAAATTAACTAATAAACCAGTTTAAATTTAAAAACAATATTGTAATAAATAAAACTTGAGCATGCGCATTTGAAAAAAATTTAATGACATTAGTAGCAGTGGTAGGAGAATCAGATTCATCAGATCTCTAAATAAATACAAAAAAGTCAGATTCTTAATATAGAAAAGCTCTTAAAATAATTATTATCAAATTAGAAATGACAATGGCAATAAACCACCATTTTTTAAATAATACTTACTCGTATCTATTATTTCTATTTCTTGATGAACTATGTTTATTTTTAAAAAGGAAATAATTAATTATTGTAAACTAGAGTAACGACAAGTGGCGGGCAATAACCACCACCACCATCCTTAAAACACTTACCCAGAAATTTCACCAAGAGCAGTTTGTCTGCTTCTTTTTTTTTTTTGATAGGCCAGATGCAAATTGATTTTTTTTTTTTTTCTTTTTTAGAAAAACAAAAAACAATTTATTTTTTGACAGAGCGCAAAGTGACAAAATGTGAGTGTTGTTGTTTGGTTTGGTTTGGGTCTCCTAAAGAAACATGTTAATAACTAACCAGAGGTACTTTTTTTTACTTGTATTGATATTTTTGGAAATCAAAACACGGAGCAGATCATTATTGGGTAATTACAAGATTTTCATTGATAATATTTTACTTCTTGTAATTGTAATAATATTATTATTAATATTATAATCACAAGATGTCAAGGCAGCACACCATTTAAAAAGAAACAATTCAAATATGTGATGTTTGATTACAGAAAAATAGCAGGCGTTGAAGCATGCACACTACCAGTCATTCTCACACGTTCCTCATGTTCAAAGGCTAATCTGACTTGATCCCCCGATGATACAATGATGCAACTGAACTCCAGGGGGCGGGAAGCAATGCCCTGGAGTTTACCAAAGCTTGCATCAATCATCAATGACACTTTCACTAATCTTCCCAGACCAGAGATGGCTGCTGACATGCTAGCTGAAAAGTTACCTGCATTGATCCTACCTCCAGGGCAATGGTGGCTCTGTGACCAAGTCACAACTCTGCTGATGAATATCAAGAGAATCTGCAGCTCATTCCAAGTGTAGGAGGTCACAATTCGGGGTGGGGCTGGTGGCCCTGAAATTGCATTTGGACTCTGATGTTAAGAGGAAAGTTGTAAAATAGTGTTTGTTTGTATAATCATTTTCATAAATGCTCTGTTTCTCTTATACTAACCAATTTATAATTTTGGGTCTGTCTTATAGATTAAAATTATTGCATGATTATACAGTGCAAATCACTTAGTCCCACAACTTTTTATTGGTTGTGTAGATTTTCAAATTCTCCAAAAATAGAAATACAA